ATAAGAATATTTTTCAATAAAATAACTATAATTATTTTTATTAATAATTTCGACTTTTAGTTATGTAGATAATGAATAAAATTAAACGACTTAGTGAATGAGTGAATTGGGGAGATTTTACATTTGATATATATATATATACTTCCCTGTAGGTATGCATATGAATGAGAGAAAGAGAGAGTTATATATATATATATATATATATGGAAAAAATAGAAATAATGAAAGATGAAGAGGAAACAACTTTAAGGCATGTAAACTTGGTAATTCACTGGGAATATATATATATATATATATATATTTGTAGAAAAGAAAAAGGCTGTAAAACTAAATGTTTACACAGTGTTTGTAATGCATCTTACTGGTTAATATGATTTTTTCTATATTATGCGGTAGGTAATTCATACATGTAAAACGTGATTATATGCAGACAGCCTATTTAGAAAAAGGGTAAGAAAGTTGGTGAATTAGACGTTGTTGCATTCCTATCAATACCACCATCAGAATAAAAAAAAGGAGAAAAAATAATGGAGGAATAGTAGTGAAAAGTAATAAAAATATACATATTCCTATACTTAAACATAATGTAATCAATTAAATATGATTACGACAAATTACTTTGATTATTATCATTATTATTATTATTATTATTATTATTATTATTATTATTATTCCATCCATTTGGTAGAACAGTAGGCATTAAACTTAATCTGATTAATAAAAGAACCACATGTTGAATAATTTAAACTAGTTAAGATATAATCAGTTAATACAGTGTTACTAGGTAATATTTATATACTTCTCCAATATGTCACTTTAATTATCCTCTTGAAAAGGTTATTTACCATAATATTCAAATAAGGAATGATTAAAGTAATTCAATAGAAAGTTGGTAGGTATCATTGCCAAGGTATAACTTGATAATTTCGAATAAATTGAACATTGGGTAGATTGTTATAAATAGAAATAATATATTTTTAGTTATCCTAATGAGTAGAAGAACTGAGTATAAGCCACTTCTGATTGATGATTTATTCTCTGAAGAAGTGTCTTACGCTGAGTTGCGAAACGTCAGAAAATCTAATTTTTCTACTCATTGGAATATCTACAACTATATTGTATTTAATTCACTTGGTATTGTTTTACTTGAATCTTTCCATTGATGTTTTAGGACTGAAATTGATCAGTCTCTTATTGGTATATGTGTATACTGTGCGTATGCCTCGATATTGCCTTAATTTACAAGCATTATAAGCAAAAATAGATAGTGGCTAGCAGTGGAATCCAGGACGCGCGTTTCGTCCTGTTTGGGCTACCGGTAAATAGTTTCAATTAAACAATATTTATTCAACTTTTAAGACTCCTGAAAGGTTTTAACGATTGTTAATAAATTTTACTGTAAGGCCCCGAGAAAATAAACCAGTGTTCTTGAAGAAACATTTGTATCTGTAACGTAATTTACTGATATAAATTTACTTCGAACAAGTTTAATTCTTTTGAAACTGAAATGAACATTGTAAGGGGAATATTTTAAACAATCAATCAATCAAAAATGATATTTTTTAAAACATGGTTTACAATTTATGGTTCAGTGTGTTGCAAAAGTTAGTTTCAATCCATAGGATGATTTTCATTACTGAAGGATATATGTAAGAGTACCACCCTATAAAAAGCACTATGGGACTGTTTCGTCGTAGTTCGGGACTGTTCAAAAATATATACTTGCAAATTTAAATTAATGTAGACAAAACCTTTCAATCATATTATGATGGTATGCTTGCTAATGACTTGGACTGAAACGATTTTCTGAGGTTGTAGTAAGAAATCAAGAACTGAGGCATTCTGTTTGGTCGAGAATGAGATGGGTGTCACTGAGTACACTGTGACTTTTGCTCTTTATCATGAATTGATTGGTGTTGAGAGTGTAAAGCAAGCACGTTTCAACATGACAATCAAAACTTAAGAAGCTTACTGTAATGCTACGTACGGTTGGTGGGAGAGGTTAAACGAAGACAGTTGAGGAATTCCAAATATAGACAAAATAGCTATCCATCGAATTATACATTTAAACTGTGTCCCAACTGATGTTAAGCCTAATTAAAAGCGATCATAACGTTCTCATTTGCTTATTTTTCAATCAGGTTTGAGATCAGATATTCTATGTTACAATAAACTTCTACGGATAACACTTTACTACCAATGTTGCTATACTAGTTAGTTAGTAAAAGCGTTTAATACAGACATTGTTGCAAAAGGTATTACTGAAAATATTGTACTTAAATCAAACAGTTTAAGACACATTTTGGAAATTACTCCAAACACGCTCGTTCCCAGCAATAAAATCATTATATAAGAACTTCCGTCTAAATTTGTTAGAATAATTTGACAGTATTTGGCGCCGAGTTGATGTAAGACATTAAGGAGGAAAAGTGTGTTTGTAAAATAGCAGAGAATAAATTCAAAGTAAATCCAGCGTTTCATTCACTGTTCATCACTTCTGATCGGTGAATTTTTAATGAATGAATCAAATATGTCACAGCATGCGCAAGATAAAGATAAATAAAAGCAAAATAAAAATGTCGGAATAGGGATTTGTAGAGATTGTAGTAATTTTAATAGTTGACCCGTTAGTCGATCTTAAGCTAAACCACCATTGAAAACCTGGAAGCACTAGATGGCCTTTTCGCCTTGGTATGAGACTCCTCAGGAGCGCACATCCATGAATCCACACTAGGGACTCGAACTAAAGACCTTCGGTTTCACGCGAGAACGCCCAACCTCTAGACCACTGAGCCGGAAACCATTGATGATGATATCTAACTTCCATCGATCCATTAATGGCTACGCAACCATTCAGATCTGTCTCTACCGAACACGGATTGGATGGCTTCTCACCATAACTCTAGGAAATTCAACTTGAAGCTGGTCATTAGTGAGTAACTAATTATTATCAGAATGGCCCTACAGTCTTTCCAGGTTTTCGATGGCGGTCTAGCTCAGATCTATTCGTAGATTCAACTATTAAAACAAAAATGAATGAATGATTGTGTTAGTTTTATTATTCCCGTTAATTGTTCATCATATTAAGATAAGTCAACTAACTAGAAAAGTTGAATTTATTTATTTTTATTCAGATATTAAGTGATAGATTAAATAAAATAAAGAGTTCAGGTTTACTTATTAATTATTAGTTGTCATGGGGCAACTAATTGTACTCCATTTTTCCCGTTAATACTGTATGGATTTGTCCATATGTGTAGGGTTTCGGCCGATAATCATTCTTTGTATGAATTAAAACCCTTTTGAAGGAATTTTGTGTTATTTAAATCAATTGTATGACCCGATTCTGTTGTGTGTAATGCTAATGTTGATTTGCTTTAGAGCCGTTTTTCTGTTATCTGAAGATTTACGAGTGTGCTTCAAGCAAAATTTGTATTCTTCTACCCTCACATTCAAATGTCTTACTAATTATGTAACTAAAACTAATGAACATAATAAAACGTATCAATAAACTTAGATTTACCATGAACATTATGCTTGAGTACCAAAAATGCTGAAAATGAAATGTAGATAAATATATGTTTTTGTCAGAATAACAAACTTTTTGATATTCTGTAACATGTATATATATATTAAAAAGAAGAATATATTTGTAAAATCTCAGCGAATGAATTTTAAGTAAATCCAACGTTTCGCCTGGCAATCTGGTCCAAGCTTTTTCAAGGAAAATATAATCAAACAACAAAATTATCGAATATAAATAGGTACCATGGTTCTTCGGTTTACTGTACACTGAATAAGTCAACCAATCGATGTGAAGGATTTCTTTATAGATAGGTATTTGTATTAATGTGTAAGAGACATGTTTATATGAAAAATAATAAAGGTCAAACAAATAAAATAAAAGTTCATTTGAAAATAACCAAGGGAAGAGAAAGAATAAGAAATTGTCGTGTTATCCTAGGCCATAGAATGACTTAAGGATTATAAGGTAAATTCAAGGTTATGACAAATTGTTTTTTATGTGAACTTTTATTTTATTTGTTTGACCTTTATTATTTTTCATATAAACGTCTCTTACACATTAATACAAATACCTATCTATAAAGAAATCCTTCACATCGATTGGTTGACTTATTCAGTGTACAGTAAACCGAAGAACCATGGTACCTATTTATATTCGATAATTTTGTTGTTTGATTATATTTTCCTTGAAAAAGCTTGGACCAGATTGCCAGGCGAAACGTTGGATTTGAATTAAAATTCATTCGCTGAGATTTTACAAATATATTCTTCTTTTTAATGTCTCAAATTAACTCGGCACCCAAATATTGTGAAACTATTCGTTCAAATTTAGACGAAAGTTCTTATAGATAGATAGATAGATAGATAGGTAGATAGATAGATAGATAGATAGATAGATAGATAGATAGATAGATAGATAGATAGATAGATAGATAGATAGATAGATAGATAGATAGATAGATAGATAGATAGATAGATAGATAGATAGATAGATAGATAGATAGATAGATAGATAGATAGATAGATAGATAGATAGATAGATAGATAGATAGATAGATAGATAGATAGATAGATAGATAGATAGATAGATAGATAGATAGATAGATAGATAGATAGATAGATAGATAGATAGATAGATAGATAGATAGATAGATAGATAGATAGATAGATAGATAGATAGATAGATAGATAGATAGATAGATAGATAGATAGATAGATAGATAGATAGATAGATAGATAGATAGATAGATAGATAGATAGATAGATAGATAGATAGATAGATAGATAGATAGATAGATAGATAGATAGATAGATAGATAGATAGATAGATAGATAGATAGATAGATAGATAGATAGATAGATAGATAGATAGATAGATAGATAGATAGATAGATAGATAGATAGATAGATAGATAGATAGATAGATAGATAGATAGATAGATAGATATAGTCCTATAAATAATATCGAAACTTACAACAATTCTCGACATGTAATGTAGTCCATAAATCGGAACGATATTTAGATGTTGTCAAATATTTTCTTTGTTGAAACCAAACATTTGGATAATATTGTTCCAATTCAGTTAAATATTGATTCTGTGAACTAACATGTAAAGGATTGTTAATTAAATATGAACCTGATTGAAAGTGTAAAGCTTCTGTCGGTTGATATAATTGTTGTCTATAATATTGTTTATGCTCTTTTATTCTAGTTAAATTAGAATTATCCATTATATTCTTAATTTGATTATTCAATGATAAATTTGTATTTTGTTTATTTAAATGTTTAAAATTGATGATATGATAATCTTTTAAATAATAATTATTATTTGTATTTATATGTGACATATAAGTATCCGGTAAACTGACTGTAATCTCTGAATGCATTCTATGGAATGGAATTGCAAATATATAAGATAATATAAAATACCATATAAGATAATAATTACATAATGAATACCTGTTAGATTGACTATTTTGATATATATATATTAGATGATGATAATGAATCATAATGTTTAGTAATTGAATATTATAAATTGTTTATATCTTGTCAATAGAATAAAGAAACTAACAACAACAAAAGAAACCCATTGACAATATATCAAGTTACCAATGATATTTATTCATTTCAATGAATGAAGTGAATGAGGTTAGTTGTGTTTTTTTTTTGTTTTAATTTATCTGAATCAAATGGTACACTCATATCATTCATAACAATGGATTTTGTATAGTTTTTCTTTTTCTGTATAGATTTTTGCATAAGTATCTTCTATTTGCTTTTTGTCCATTATCATGCTTCATTATGATGCATTCGAATATATATATATATATATATATATATATATATATATATATATGTATATTTTCTGGTGTAGATCTAAGCATTACTATTGCTGGCATACAAAAAGTAAACATGTATTCATTGAACATGTCGATGTATATATATATACACATGTGTTACGTTTGTGTATGTGTTTGCCTACAGTTGATGTTCTAAAGCGTATAGTTATGTATATGCATGTATTTATAAATAGAGGGATAGAGTTAAGGGAGAGAGAATGATTAAGACTGGACAAGTTCTAGTAACTACCGTAATTCGGTTATTAATAAATTGTTTTTTTTTTCATTTGTAAATTGTGTTTTCACCTTATTCATTATGTATAGATATAAATTTACAAAAGTACCCAGTAACTAACAATGTGTGTGGTAAAAAGGAAAAAAAACCCAGAAATTTATTGAGAAAAGCATAAAATACTGAGGGTATTTCACACCATTAATAAAAGCAAAAACGTAAAACATTCAGTTGAATAGATAAACATTCAATGCAACTTGAACTTTGTTGATTATTATTATTTAATGTAATCTTTGTTAGGAAAATAACGTTGATACTAACACACGGATACACATACACACACACACACAAACTATACATATGTCAATTTATTTCATAAGTTTGATCTAAGTGATAATTGTTTTGTTTGTTTTTATTTCTTTTTATGTTCTGGACGTACTATTGAAAGATATTATCATTGACTTGTTTACAATCTTTATTAGGATTGACAATTCATTGTAATCCTTTTGGATAATACATAAATTAACTAAGTGGGGGGGGGGCTATAGTAAATAGTGAACTAATTTTATAAATAGAAAATTTATTTCAGAGGTTGAAATCATGAGTCTATTGAAGCTAGACCACCATGAAAAACCTGGGACCACTGGACGGCCGTTTCGTCCTAGTATGGGACTTCTCAGTAGTGCACATCCACGATTCCGCACCCCGCGGGATTCGAAGCCAGGACCTACTGGCTTCGCGCGCGAGCGCCTAACCACTAGACCACTGAGTCGGCATCCAACGGTGTTAGTGTGTAACTTCAACCAATTCACGAAGTTGCGCCGCCGTACACAATTGTCTTCAGTGAGCTGATATCTCACAACAGACCTGGTTGAACTCCACTGGTAACGGCTTCTCACTAGCACTCCAGGAGTATCTCCTGAAGTCATTCACCAGTGATCAGTTGATTATTATCAGAATGGGTTTTGTGGAGATTTGTAGAAATTTCACAGGTTGAAATCATGAGTCAATTGAAGCCTTACTAACTTATATAATTTACATGAATAGTGGTTTTATATGTATATAGTAAACAATAAGATAACAATATAGCAAATCGAATTTTAATATAGAATAGTAAAATAGTATAATTGCATATAGTCTTATAAAATGACAAAAATAGAAGTTAGACATTAGCACAATTAGATCCCAGCTAAGTGGTCTAGAGGTGAAGTGTTCATGTGCCAAATCGAAGGTCCTGAGTTTTAGTCCATTGTACGGGATCGTAGATGCGTACTGCTGAGGAGTACCATACTAAAACAGAATGGTTTTCCAGTGCTTCTAAGATTTCAGTGGTGGTCTAATATTGATTGGTTCATAAGCTCGATGAAAATAGAATAGATTTATTCAGAAATATACCTGATAACAGTATATTCATTATGAACAATTATAATACTGATTTTTCTACAAATGTTTCGAACATAAATATTATACTCACAAGGTTAAGTGAACTCACGGAAGCCTGCTCAAACGTTTTGGTCACCTATTGTTTTACCTGTGTTATTATACAGTAAACCTTCTTGTTTAAGATTTATCTAAAGCGAACAATTATGATACCTGTTTATGTGTACTTACGCGGTACCATCCAAGGCTTAAAATCTATCATAATGCTAAATACTGAAAATCTCATAACGAAACACTGCACTTGTTGGGATATTTTCCTTCTTGTTTAACCTTTGGAAAAGTGAAAGAAAAAATTATCGGATTATATCTATTTAATATCTGATGAGTGGTAAAAATGTAGTCAAAGAACAGAAACTGACCACTAACTTTCTCCATTGAAGATAAGCCGAAAAGTATAATTTTTGAATAGTCACAACATGAATGTAGGTTAAAGAGAAATTTCTCGTAATATTGCATAAATAATGTTGAGAATTCCTTATAGTTACAACATTTCTATTAATCAGTGAAGGTATTGTTATTGTAGTTAAGCGTATCAGTTGACTCTCTTATATTTAACAATGAACTGATGTTTAATCATGTTGTGAATGTATTTTGCAAAATTTACAAACTTTCTGGCTTCTTTCATTTTGTATTGTTTGCTTGAATCTTCCCATTGATGTTTAGAACTGTAATTGATCAGTCTCTTATTACATAAGTTAGTTACCATTAGAATTCAGTAGCTAAATGGATAGCGTGATGGAGTTTTAAGTGAACGGTAATGAGTTTGAGCTCCAGAGTGAACATTAACTTTGAGAGGGAAATTCATCCAACTAATGAGTCCTAAATGGAACAAATCGCACGTCCTAGATTCCACTGTTAGCCATCATTCATATTTTAGATGCTAAAAATATTTTAAACCACAGTTTTTGGTTAACTTTGAAAGTTATTGTTATGGGACTAAAGAAACAACTCATAATCAAGGTGATGACCTTGATAATTCTAGATTATTTTGTAAAAATATTATATGTGAAAATTATATTTGAAATAATTTCAGCGATTGAAATTTAACCAATTCCAACGTTTCATCCAGCAAACTTGTCTGGACTTCCTCAGACTAATAGTCGAAATCAAGAAGTCCAGACACGTTTGATGGATGAAACGTTGGAATTGGTTAAATTTCAATCGCTGAGATTATTTCAAACATAATTTTCATATATAATGGCTTCTTTATACTCGGTGCCTAATTTTTACGAAACTATTCATTCTAATATTGACGAATATTCGTATAAATTATTTTGAAAAGAGTACTCATTATTTCTATTTGCAAATTACGTAATAGTTGATGGTTTGTTTCGATTAGCTGATGAATGATTTTTTTATTCTATGCAATAAATATATAGAATTCTAATCAGAGAGGGGTTTTGTGGAGAATGTAGTAATTTAACAATTGAATTCATGAGTCAATTCAAGCTAGACCACCATGGAAAACCTGGAAGCACTGCACAGCCGTTTCATCCTAGTATGGGACTCCTTAGCAGTGCGCATCCACGATTGATCGAAGTTAGACATTAACACTGTTGGATGCTAATCTACTCACTGGTCTAAAGGTTAAGTGTTCGCGCGCGAGACTGATAGGTCTCGGGTTCGAATACAGATCTCTGTTAATAAATTTATGTTACGAACCATTTTTACCAAAATGTCATTCTTTAAACAAGTACTTATAAGTAGTGTAACGGTGTCATTATGAAATTTTCACACTATAACGCCTATACACTTACGCCTATACGATTTTAATCGTTCAGTCATTGAGAATTACATTTTATTCCATCATTAACCTATAAAACTAAAAAGTTAGTGAAAGTACATACAATCAATAACAAACAAAATATCTTGGGATAAATGAAATAAGATCAAATACATATCAAAAACTTAGTTCAGTACTCATTATACAATAAATGGAAAATGCAGTGAGAATATTACTGTAAACATTTAAAGTACAATAATAACATTATCCGTGTGTTCCAATCCATTCTCAATTTATTCATCTGGCAGAACCGAAACTAAAGTTCAACGGTATTCATTATACTGGACTTATAAATGATAAATTAAGGTTCGAAATCCGTTCACTAACGATTTACACTCCGAATTATAAGTCCAGACTTAATAAACTTGGACTAGACCCTTAATGGAAGAGGATGCCCAAACTAAATCTAATCTCTTTCATCAAATTACTTAGGCAATCTTATACATTCTATGAAGCAATTCAGCACACAGAAATCCCAGTTACAGCATCCGTAACTCTTTGTCATTAGTGAAATAGTCTCATTCTAAAACCTCAAACCGTTCGGGGGCTTAATTCAATAAGTCAGTCTGTTTAGCAGCCATCACTTGACCGATATCGTTTCATTTATCGATTCGAATCTTATTCTTTCTTTACAATGATCTCAAACTACAACAGTAAATAATCTATGGATTTAGCTTGTAAAGCGGTGTAAGATTACCAGACAGCATAAAGTGTTTCTTACAATTTAAAACAAAATAGGCTTAATTAAAGAGATTGATGATTTTCATAATAAAACAAAAAATATCAAAGTTATAAATGTCACCTGATATGACATTTCAAAGATAAGGAGTCAATCAAAATTATCATTTTAACTAGAGACAATCTATTCAAAATAGTCATATGATATTTCATTGGACAAAACTCGACGAGACTATAATTTATGGACGAATTAATCAAATATAAGATAACCGGTTCTGGATTTTGGCGCGAAATTTATTCATCCAGTTGGCTGAATAACGTTTTGACATTTTAGTTGATATCAGTTCGTCATAAAAACGCTAAATCTAATTCCTAACCGTAACCGTCAACTGTAAATCATAATTCATATTACTCATACTGGTTTACAACCTTCATTTAATCCTAGTTAGTAGGTGGATATCCTCAAGGTCACTTTGGCGTCGCTCAAACTTATTTACTTACGCCTATTACCCATCGTGGAAGAGAATAGGCCACCCACCAGCACTCTCCATCATTGCTCAATGCTCGTCCATAAATTATAGTCTCACCCAAAATCCCATATAATAGCCATCAAAACTTCACTACTGTTTTGCATGACAGGTTTGTGTAAACATATGATTTTGAAGTGTATTTCAAACTCAAAAATAAC